AATAAAAATCCAGTAATCTGTTTTTATTGTAGCAAGAATAATGCCTTCCATTGTAATTTGTGAGCTGAAGTTCATTTTCTGAGAGACAAAGGAAATAAGCAAAGATTTTATAGGAGAGTCAACCAAGGTTTTAGTTTGGCATTTTCCTTGATCAGACAATCAGAAGACAACAAGGGTTAAGGCTTCAAAGCTTCTATGGTTTGTACAACAGACTTTAGGAAAACTTTCATTTCTGTTTAAAATCTAACAGCATTGTTACTTTCTCCCTGCCCTGTTCTATGTGGTTTATCAAGGTACCTTCTGAGATATCAGCACGTAGCAAGTTCTGAGCTGGGAAAACAAGAATATTGCAAAAGTTAATGAGAGTAAAAGCAAAACAAAATCTTAAATTCTGGTGCTTACATATGTAATGAGAAATTTTCTCTTCTTTTTAAAGAAGTATGATTTAACCATACTTTAAATCATTGGATTTATTAAATAATTTGTTTAGTTCAGTGCTTCCAAATCAGAGGAAGGAATGTGCTCACTTAAGGTGTAAGGAGTTACGCTGCCAACCCAAAGGCTGCAGTTCGAATCCATCAATTGTCCAGCAGGAGAAAGATGGGCAAACTCGTCCTGTGTGATTGGTTTTGGGTATTTTTTAGTAGGAGGTAATTACCCTTAATCCAGGCAAGTTGACTGTGCTACCCCAGAGTCCAACATATATGGTACATAGCAGTTACTTGTTGGTACGTTGCAGCACACTTACTAAATTGACCACCATGCTTAGAAACACATTTGCCGTCATTTGTGGCAATGTGTCAAATACTGGTTGACTGACTGCAAATATTTACACAGAAGAGCTCTGGGCACATAATGGTAAAAAGGTAAACTGTAATCCTGAAGACACACAGTTAAATGTACCAGCAGTTCTGTAGGAGAAGAATGGGCAATCTCCTTCCCTATGACTTACAGCCTCTGGAAACCTGCTGGAGAGTCAGTAATGAGGCAGTGCCAACTCAAATGGCACACAACAACAACAACAACATGTAAGTTATGTTATTCTTATTGCTGGGTACCTGGATTCTGACTCATAACAACTCTACGTAGAGGGAAGAGAAACAGCGCTTAGTCCTGCTCCTTCCTCACAAACATTTGCTGTTTGACCCCAGTGTTGCACCCACTATGTCAAACTGTCTTGTTGAGGGTCAACCTCTCTTTTACTGACCACCTACTGTTGCGAGCATGATGTCCTTTCCCAGAGACTAGTCACTCCTAATAACACGTCTCAAGCACACCAGATGAGCTGCCACACTCACTTCTAAAGAGCACTCTGACTGGATTTCTTTGAAGACATCTGGCAGTCTATGGTATATCCAATATTCATTCTGCCAGAACTTCTTCTTCTGACAATCTGTGGAACTTCCTCTTCTGACAGTCTGTGGAACTTCCTGTTCTGGCAGTCTATGGTATATTCAATATTCTTCACCAGCACCATTATCCAAATTTATCAATTCTTCTTCCATTTTCTTTAATCACTGCCTAGCTTTCACATGCATATGAGGCAACTAAAAATATCATGGATTGGGTCAGAAATACTTTAGTCTTCAATGGGACATCATTGCTCTTCCAAACCTTGAAGAGGTCCTGGCAAGCAGAATGGCTCAAAACAATATGTTGTTTGACTTCCTGACTACAGCTTCCAGGGGTGTTGACTATGGATCCAAGTAAAGTGAAATCCTTAATAATTTCAAACTTTTTTTTATTATGTTGAGGCATAACCCATATTAAAAGTTTTTTATCTTAATCAGTAAGTGCTTCAGGTTGTCTTCACTTTAAGCCATCAAAGTGGTATCTGTATCACATGTTGTCTGTGATTCTTCCTCCAATGCTGATACCACTTACATCTTCATACAATTAAGCTTTATGGATTATGGGCTCAGCATACAGACTGAATAAGTATAGTGAAAAGACACAACCCTGATACACACCTTTCTTGATTTTAAATCACACAGTAGCCCCTTTTATCTATTCAAATGAATTCATATTGGTTCTACATGAGCCAAATTTAATGTTCACAATTCTTCACAATATTCTAAAATCTGTTATAATCCTGGCAAGTCAAATACCTTTGCTAAACCAATAAAACACAGGTATGTCTTTCTGGTATTCCCTGCTTTTAGCCAAGACTCCTCTCACATTAGCATTGGTTGTCTCTTTTTCCACGTCCTCTCTGAATCAGAGTTAAATATCTAGCAGTTCCCTGTTGATATGCTCTTGCAGCTGTTTTTAAATTATTTTCATCAAGTTCCTTTCTTCCATTTACTTTAGCTACTCTACATTCAAGAGCGAGTTTTAGCAATACCTATTTATGCTCATTTTATACTTATATGCGGTGCTACATACAAGTATATATGGTGCCAATCTATGATTTATGATGAAGTGTGCACATAGCCCTACTTAAACCCCCATTGTGTATATAGGTGTGTATGTTTACATTTGTGGAGAAGATGCTTTAGGCTAGAGAAATAGAGATCCTTTTTATGCTAAAGTTACAGCTCCTTGACATAAGCTTCTGGCTGACCTGTCTAGCAAAAAACAAACATATAAGCATGTACTACTATTAGTATTACAAACTATATTTTATATTGCATATTACATCTCCTAGTAATCTAAATTCTAAGAAATAATGGCTTTTATTAAACTAGTAGGCTGTAAAAAGTGGTATATCACTTAACAAATGACAAAACTTGGATTGTTTTTTTAAGTTTTATTCCTGTTTGTTAAGTATATATGTAGGTAAAACATTCTAACTTCGTATGGGCTGACCAGATGTCCATATTTACATGGTAACACAGGAAACTATCATTTATAACCATCATAATAACACTTGTTTATTGGGTACAGAAGGTGCTAGAAACTGGCATCAGTTATTTTATTTAAGCCTTAAAAATCACCCTACAATGTAGATGTGCGTACTTTTATTTTAAAAATTAGGAAGTTAGACTCATAAACAATAACTTTCCAAAGCTTCTCACTGCTTATGCAGTAGTAACACAGTCTAAAATTTCCAGATTCTACTGTGACAACCAAACATCTTTCAAATGGCATCAGTGACTCTTGCAGATTTACAGATACTAACTTTTTAAAATGTTTAGACAGTTTTATAGTGTGTGGATTTAATCAGTGATTCTGTGCACATAGAGACCAGACCAAAGGACAGCCAAGCACAGCAAAGATTACTCCAGGCTACAGACAGCAAGGAACAAATATGTCTCAGAAATCATCAGCCTGGGTTTCTCACATTCTGAAGCATTTTCCACTCATTGTGTATCTCCAAAATATAATCTAGTGTGTAACAGAGCTTCATTATTCCTTCTCCTACACAAAGCAAAAAAATAATAAAAAATAAGGAACTCTTTTATTGGGAACCAATGGGAAGTTCTTAACTCATTTCCTTATATTATTTGAAATGAAATTAACTGCTTTCTATGGAGAAAAGAATTTCAGAATGTTAGGCCTTTAAGGTGGTTTTGCAGCAATATTAATACAGGAAAGTGAGAAAATTAACCCTTATGTACTTCTAGAAGAATGGAGTTCTTTTTAAATTTAAGGACAAATTTTCAAAAAAGAAAGGATGAGCAAAAGTAAGAGAGGGAAACCCTTCCCTCACAGTTTAAAAGATAATTCAGCTGCCTTCTTCAGAAAGACTTGGCTATTCTCTCTTTGCCTGCCTTTGTAGGAGCAGGCCTGACAAGGGAAGGGTAATCATATGTATATAAAAGCAATAGATGATTAGATAGATAGATAGATAGATAGATAGATAGATAGATAGATAGATAATAGATAGATCGATAGATTGCTTAACATTTATAGTAAATAGCTGTAAAGAATGTTAAAATTGACTGTCCCCTACCCATACACTGCTTGGAAAGGTCCTATTCAGAGCAGAGCAAAGTACTCTCCATCCAGACTCCAGTCACCAGAGTTGACTGCAGCATCATCAGCTTCTAGGCTTGAAGGAGGGGTGACAGTCCCGAGAGAGGAGGCTTCAGTGGTCCTCTCCACAGGCCATGGGAAGTGGAGAGGAAACGGAAGCACCCTTGCCTTCCTTCCAATCTAAACTGCACAACCCCTACTGTCACACTTATTTTTAGACCCTTCAACGGAAATTCCCAGAAAAGAAGGGAAACTACAACCTTTGTATGAACCTAAGGGTTCTCTTTTTCCAACCTGGTTTTGGCTTTTTGGTTTCTTTTCCTATTCCAAGACCTGACCTACAGCACACCTTCCATGCTCCTGGAGAAGACATACACAGTCTAAGCCAAGTAAAGGGGCTGGGAGCTTTGGAACTCCGGTCCTTCAAAAGCACATGACCTTGGAGAATTACCTTAAGGTGCAAAAACTCGATTTGCTGCTGGTAAACTGGGGAGGATACCATATTACTAGACATTTGGAGGGACTCTTGCAAAAGCAAAAATTAACACGACCTGGCCTCTAGTAGGACACTGTGTATGCTGGAGTGGGGAGGGGGGTAGGTTAACAGCACAAAACCATCGGATTCCAGTTAGGTGTCCACGTTGTGATTTTGCTACCCTTCCTTGCCCATCACTTCACTGATGAGTCATTTATGACACCAGACTCTTCACCTAAGTTCACCTTTCCCCTAACCCTCATATATGTCTAGCTCCCTACAGTTTCAAACTGCAGAACCCAAGAAAGGAGTTTTCATTAAGGGAAAAGGAGTAAAACATGCGGAGTTCTTCCTACTAGTTATTGACAAGTCGTTAAAAACAACTCAAGCTTGTAAAGGAATGCTTCTTGTCTTCACAAGTGCAAAGCGGGAGTCTTCACATCCCTTGGGGTTGAGTGGGGAAAGAACCCTGGCAAAATTACTCGGGTTAGGAATGGCTGGGAAGGAGGATAAGAAAATAAGAACTGGGTGGAAAACATGCCTCTCTGTCCTCCGCGCGCTGGGAGGGAAGGGCGCGAGGGAGGAGAGGTAGAGAGGGCAGGAGTACCTGAAATCTCTGGCCGCTGTCTGGTTCCTCCTCCATGCAGTGCCCTGTTGCAGCACCCCTTGCACAATCTCCTTCTCGTTGGGCAGCCGGTAGACCGGGAAGATGTAGAGCCAACAGAGAACCACAACGCAGAGGGCACTGGCCCCCACCGGCAGCCTGGTCCGCGGGAACTTCCACGCCAGTATAGCCATGGCCCCTCTGGACGCGTGCAGCCGTATCCGCCCGCAGGGGCTCATAGCAGCCCCGGGGTGGCAGGGAGGGGCGACGGCCAGAGCTTTCAGCACAACACTTGTCCAAGTGGCAGCAAAGGGTCCCCGCACCGGCGGCCCCCCATGCACACACACCTTCCGCTTGCTTGGCACACGCACTCACGTCTCTTCGGCCCCCTCGGGCCCCCAGAGGTCAGAGCAAGGATTTTTAAAGAACAACTTTTTCAAGGATTTCTTTTCAGACGAAGTGAAGGGGGGGACAAATCACGAGCTATGGCCATGGTCGCTTCCCCTGCAGAAGGCGGGCGCTGGGGTCTCTGGCAGCGACGAGTCCCTCCAGCCGGTTCTGCAGCATCACGGTCGCCCTCGGCGTGGGACCGGGGAGAGGCTGGGCTCCCTCCCAGACATTTGGTGGCGGTGTCCCCTCTGAGCAATGCTCCTTTCGCCCTTCGCCTCCTCTCCCCGCCTCCCGCGCTGCTGCGCCGCCCGGCACCCCCCAGAAGCGCTCTCCACGCCGCGCCAAGTCCTTGGAAATTTCCACGGTGGCCCGGGACCGCTATCCTGACCCAGGCTTTCCCACCTCACCTACCAGGACCCTCGTTCCCCACCCTTCCCAGAGAATAAAAGAACTCGCTCTCATCAGTTAATTCAACGGCGCGCCGCAGCCTTCCGCTGCGCCCCGGACTTCGCAGACAAACGCCCGGGGATTGGTGGAAATCAAGGTCTCCCCCTCCGTGCCCCCCCC